TAGGAGGTGTAGGGATGTTGATGCTGCCCTAGCCTAAAGGACTTACATGTGCAATCTTTCCATAATCGTAACCTTCTGTAATAACTGTTTGTTACGCATAGTGCCTACGCTCCATGATTGGGTCTCCTTCTAGGAATTCCTACTTCGGTCATGTACTACACTTGGACTTAACCACAGGGCTTCGCATTCAATTACTGGCTCCTTATTGGGTTACAGAAGCTAAAATCTTTTTAATTTTGTCTTCAGTCGGACTTGAACCGTTGACCTTGACTGTGGGGGCATGGGAGCTTAACCGCTAAGCTATGGGACCCATACCCATATATATAAGATTGTAAATAGTTTGATAAATATATTCTATACAAAACTGTCTTATCAGAAAAGCAAAGAAATAAAGGTTCAAAAAGGATTAATTGCACTTTCTTTATTAATACATTCAAGAGTAAAGATCTTAATTATAAAATAATAATTAAACTAATATCAGTATATCTTAAACATAACTATTCTTTGATTTTTGAAAATTTAATTTTTGTTACTGAATATCAGAAGCTTATCATGGAGATAAAATCTCTTATTAAAAGCTATATGCTTTGTAATCTTAATATTCCTTCTTAGGTTTGGTTGCTTTATGAATTATTCCCTAAAGCAACAATTATAAATTATAATATAAAGAATTATATATATAAGTTTTATTAAATTTATAAAATACAAGATGGTAATATAACAAAACTTTTTCAATACTTTGAAAATGAACATACTAATGATTCTGATTGGTATATTTAATTACTAATTGATTCAAAAACAAATAGATTATCAGGTGTATTTTATATGTTACCTGAATAACAAGAACTTTGACAGTATTATGCAAAAATTATTTTAAATAATAATACTATATTAACTAATGCTTATAATATACTATTAAGTCTTTTAACTGTTGTTGACAATAATTTTAAGTCAAGAATTGTTGCACAGACTATATTGCTTAATAAAATAAGCAAAAGTTATAGATAGATATTACAGCAAATGATTAAAGCTACAAAAGTTCACATCAGTATTTTTATTATTAATGCAAACCTAGATCTTAAGAGTATTGTTTCTAAAATATATTCAAATACTTATCTTTTTTACTGTGTTTAACATATTAATTGTAATATTAAAAAATAATTATCTAAGACTCTTGATAATTATTATTTTAATTTTTTCAAAGCATTTTATTATGCTTAAAATATATTATATAAAGAGACATTTAAAAGATACTAGAAGCAATTAATATTAAAATTTTTAGTGTTAACTAAATATCTATTTAGGCAACTTAATCTTTGTAAAACAATTTGGTAAAAGCATTTACTAGTTGAATTTTTATAACAAGAATAATATTTACTCAGTAGTTTAAGTTAATAAATAGTATAATTAAGTAAAGTGTAAATGCAAAAACTCAATTACATATTTTGTATAAGCAAATTAAATTACATGTTGCTAAAGAGTAATTTACTAGTTAGTTTTTAGCTTAGTATAAGAAGATATTATCATATAAAACTCTAAATATTTGTAAAAGACTTTTTTTAAATATATATAGTATTTTACAAAAATATATAATGTTTAAAATTTTACAATTACATGTTAATCAAATGAATAAGACAGTTATGTATAATGGTTAAAAAATTAATTTTGATGATCTATTCAATTTGATATTAGATATAGTAGAAAATGAGCCAATTGAACTTAAATCTAATTTTCATCAAATATGTATTGATGAACTTTTTAAGAAAATTGATTATTTTTTAATAGCTAAAGTTTGGGAAATTCAGTCAATTGAAAATAAGTTAGTGTCAGATAGCATGTAGTTTTACTAAAAAATAGGTTCTATTTATGTACATGTATTTTGATATTTGATAGTAGTATTATTTGCCATCATTGGTTTTATATTCTTTTATAATTTAAAAAGAGCTTTTTTATATTTATCTCATTCCAAAGCATTGGTATAAGGATCAAATGATAAATAAATTAGTTAATAATAAACTATTTGTTAGAGAAAAGTTATAAGATTTAACATTAAATACATTAAACATATCTTTATTTTTAACTATTATTGAGTTATAGAATATTATGTTTATAGAACCATCTGAACAGACAGTTGCAAAAATAATTAGTTAAAAGCAATTTATTAAAGGAATTGTTTGAACTTACATACAAATATGTAGAACTAGTTGAATATGATAATCTTAAAGATTCTGATATTTTGATAAAAATATTTAAAAAATAGATTTTTAATTATGAAAGAATACAAAACAACAAAGAGATAAATATGTCATAAAATATTAAGTATAATCAAATCTCAGAAAATAGTCAAATTATAAAAAGTAAGCAAGATACAAAAGGTATGCAAGTTATGAAAAATGAACAAGTTACAAAAGATAAGCAAGTTACAGAAGATGAGCAAGTTATAAAAGATAAGCAAGTTACAAAAAATAAGCAAGTTACAGAAGATGATAGCTTTTTAGAATATGAGAAGATTATAAGGAATGATCAATTTATAAAAGAAAATCAAAATTTAAAACATACTCAGACTTCTAAAACAATATATCTTAATGTTCAAAATTCATTTTAACATGTTAAAAAAGGTCAATTTAGAAAAATAAGAATTAAATTAGTAATTAAAAAAAATAATAAAATAAAATTAGCAAGTAATAATTCACATTATACTTCTTATTATTGTTGTAGTGTTTGTAAAAGTAAAGGACATGACAAGCAAAATTGTCCTAACAAATAATTAGTATAAAAATATTATGCTTTCTTATGTTTAGCTTTAATATGTATATTTTAATTATTAATCAGATAACTTCATAATATTGGCTATATAATAATTTCTATTAATATTAATTTAGTCTTTTCATTATAGTAATATTTAATTAAATTAAAGTTTGATTTCTATTGATAGTATTAGTTATCTATATGTTTTAATTAAACTAAATAAAGTAAAGGTAACAGCTGTAGCATAGTAATTGCAACAAACTAAAGAAGCTAGTTAATAAGAAGAATATTAGTATAGTGATGTCTTGTATAATTAAGTAGTTAGTATTTGTAATTTAATTTATTATAATTAATTTTATTGCATCTTATTATTAACTGCAATTTTGAAATTAATTAGATTAAAATTAAGTTTGATTTTTATTAATAGTATTAGTAACTTATATCTTTAGTTAAACTAAGTGAAACAGATATGTTAGCTGTAGTATAGCAATTGTAATAAACTAGTAAAGCTAGTCAACAAAGAGAATATTAGTATAGTAATGTCTTGTATAATTAAGTAGTCAGTATTTGTAATTTAATTTATTATATCATTTTATTAATAATTTTATTGCATCTTATTATTAACTATAATTTTGAAATCAATTAAATTAAGGTTAGAGTTTGATTTTTATTATAGTATTAGTAGCTTATATGCTTTAGTTAAACTGAGCAAAGCAGAAGTAATAGCTATAGCATATTAATTAAAATAGACTAGTAAAGCTAGTTATTATTAGTATAGTGTTTTTTTTTTAATATTTAAAATCTTTGCCTTAAAAATGCTTTTATAGAACATAGTAATTACTATGTCATATAAGCTTATTTTTAAGAAAAACTCTTATTTTTTGTTAGTAACTCAAATAGTTTAAATATATAGTTTTTACTAGTATATTTTCTTAGTTGCAACATCAATTTAGCTTTGGTAAGATAATTATGCAAATTATTATTATAAGTGTTATTTCAGGCTTTATTTATAACTTTATTTGTGATTTATCTGAATTAAGAAGATATACTATAAAATCTCAAAATAACATACAGAATAAAATTACAAATTTAGACCAAAATTAAGCTTAATTCAGGTCAAAATGTAAAATAATGCCTATGTCTGTTATTTTGAGAATTTACAATATCTGTTTATAATGACAAGTTGCATTTATATAATTTATATTTTTAACTATTTATAGAGCTTGTGCATGTTTTGATATTATATTTAATAGCACTATGTTTGGTACTTGCAAATAATTAGTATATTTTTTTATTAATAAAATATAATAGTAACACAATTTTTTTTTTATTATTTACTTTGGCAACAATACCAATTGGTTTATTAGCTTTAATTTGATATAGTACAAATTTACAGTTATATTTTATAATCAATTATTACTAGTATTATATACTATCTATTTTGTACTACTGACTTTATTTGATTACTCTTATGGCATCTAAGTGCATGTTCACTACATGCCTGCATGCAGTTATCTTAACAACTACTTGCAGTTAGAGCATACTATTAAACTGCTATATAGACAAGAATATCTGTTAAACTTAATACAGTATCCCAAATGCCAGAGGTACTGTCTTCTGTAAATTGTACCTATGTGTTCTACTTATATGTTTTATTTGGTCTTATTTTTTCTGCCTTTTAATCTAACTATATCTAGTATTATCTTGTTATTGATATTTCTTATCTTTTTGTTATTGTATTATTCTCAAATTGGTCCTACTTAGATATGTCTAATCCTTAAGAGTTTCTATCTTTGATATGTCTATTATTGATTTCTCTAAGGTATTTTGACAATGGTCTAGAATCAGCAATAAATCCATATCTCAAGCCAAACTGCTATTACTATTGGTCTTTTTAACCAATTCATATCTCAAGTTAGATCTGCTGTTATCATTCTTGCAAATGCCTCAGATTTTAACATCATACAGTAACTTAGTGCTATATTTAATCTTCAATATGGTGCTTTCTTTTATAGTAAGAACTAAAACTTGTTGCACTCACAAATAGGACAATTCTGATTATAATTAAGGAGTTCTTCTGACCCTAGTAATACTATACTATTATATATTGCAAGCTCTCAGCTTATTTAATAATATCTGCAAGACAATTTTGATTATACCTAGAGAGTTATACTGACTCTAGTAATGCTGTACTATCTTGCAGATCTTCTCTTATATTGGTTAGTTGATTTTAGTCATAAACTTCTATATAGTTATGACTAGAATCTAATTTGGTGTTTTTATATTGTACAAGAAAATTATATGCTAATCTCTAAGATTTTTCTTTCTATAATTAGATTATTTAGCTATGTCAGAGATGCTTTTAATTCTGGTTAAACCAATTCTTTACTACAGCTTATTTTCATATTTACTATTTTTTTTACTATTCTAGTCTTAGTTATTTTTAGACTATTCTCCTAATCAAATCTTTTTCTTAAATTCTAATTGGAACTTATTTATACAATCTGTTGATTATTCTTCCAAGCAAGTATCTTACAAATTGAGTGCAAAAATGTTAGTACTGCCTATATTAAGAGATGTAAGAATGTTAATGCTGTTCTAGTCTAAAGGACTTATATATGCAATCTTTTCATAACTGTAACTTTCTGTAACAACTGCTTGTTATACATAGTGCCTGCACTTCATGATTAGATTTTTTTCAGTGAATTTCTATTTCCATCATTATATTGCACTTGAACTTAATCATCAGGCTTTACATTTAATTACAGGCTTCTTATTAGGTTACAGAAGCTAAAATCTTTTAATTTTGCCTTTAGCCAAATTTGAACTATTAATCTTAATTGTGGAAAGTATAAAAGTTTAACTGCTAAGCTATAGAACTCACATCTTGTGATATATAAATTTATATAAAAATATATGTGATATTTTTTAATAATATATAATTTATTAGTGTTATATAAGCTATTGTCATATAAGATAAGTATGTCTAATTTAGCACAGTGCTCAATTTGGTGCATTTACAATATCTTGTGATCTATCAATTAAAATTATGCGATTTTGATACTGTTAGATTTGTCTTAGTGAAATAAATCAAAAAATACTTAAATTATATGATTCTGATCAATAAATCACAAGATATTATCATTCATGTAAATTCTCTTTATCTAAAATTCTGACAAGAAAATATATAAAATATATCAATATTTTAAAGATTAATTTGTAATAAAAAATCAAATTTGCCACATTAATTAAAGTTGTTAGTATTGATAAATTCTATATATTTTATATTTTAATGACCCATTAATATAATAGTTGTAATTAATTTGCATATTATTAGAATTGCATACTTGGGTACATTTAACTATATACTTGGATATATATAATTACATACTTGGGCATATTTAATTGTTTCTTTAGATCCAATTTAGGTAAATTTTCAAAACCCATAAATTTTGTTTCCTTTTATTTAATCTTACAACATATTATTTTCACTAAAATGTGTATAAAACATTACAAATATATTGCATATAAGATAAAGCACAAAGTAAAAACATACTTTATATAAAATAAAAAAAAACAATATGTTTTAAAGTTTATTTGGTCTGAAAAATAAATGATTAATTATAAATATTTACAAGATTATAAGTAATCTCAAAGTTTATTGTTATGAATCATATAAAAGGCCATGCTAATAATAATAAATAGTTAAATGTTAATACTGTTAAGCAAGTAAAAATAAAAATATTTAAAATCATTTATTATATTCTTAAAAGTCTTAAATAAAATAATACCAAAGTATAGTGACTATACTATCTAGCATAATGCTATTAATAATGCCTTTAAGGCAATTAAAAACTTACCAAATAACTTAGTTTCAAGTATTAGAAGTATCACAAATGATTATAGTTTTCTGAAAACCACCTTTTGACATGCTATTAAAAATAGAGATCTTTTTACTTATCTAGGCTATGCCAAAATTTTAACCAATCATGAAGAGGAACAGCTTGTAGGTTACTACTTAAATATGCAGAAGCTTAGATTTGGGTTAACAAAATCTAACATGAGCCAGTATGTTATAGATAATATTCATAAAAACAGGCAGTTTTATTTTTTTAATAAAAATGAACCAGAACAAAAATGATGGCAGTGCTTCATAAAAGGTTATCTGGAACTTTCATTTCATATTTCACAAGCTCTAAATGAAGCCTATGTACAAAAAGCAAACTCTATTATTATTAAAGATCATTTTGAGAAACTTTAAAAAATTATTCAAGAATACTAACCAAATTTGGAACATGAAATTTTTTTTTTCTTGCTACAATTCTTTTCTTTTTTTTTCTTTTTTTTTCTTGCTATGACCTTTTTCTTTTTTTTTTCTTTTTTTCTCACTATAGCTTTTTTTTTTTTCCTTGCTGCAGCCTTCTATATTATTTTATTTTTTTATTTTATTTTTATTTTATTTTATTTTTATTTTATTTTTTTTATTACAATTTTTTTTTTAAGATAAAACAGGTTTTGACATCAAACCAAGACTTCAAAAAGTTATAGCAAAGAAAGAAGCATATCAGATATATCAGGTTTTATATGGCAGCTCTTATGAGTATATTTCTATATGTCAGTTGCTAGGACATATATTCTACTATTAATTATTTTTAAAGGCAAATGAGTAATTCCAGATTTTTTGAATAGTGCATCTGCTGGCTCTATCATAGGGTTTACTGAAACAGAATATATGTGAAAGAGAGCCTGTTTTAAAAATACATTAAACATTTTATTAATTTTATTCTATCTGTATACTCTGCTTTGTTAATTCTAGATAGTCATAAAAGTCATATTAATTACTCTAGTATCAACTTT